CACCGTTAAGTCTCTTTCCCCTCGACTGCCTTGTATTCTAGGCCTTTAGAATATTCCAGATTCATAATTATTTCAAACTGTATCAGAGAGGAAATATTTACAATAGATGCAATAAATAGTGATAATAAGGGAGGAGACATCTCTGTTCTTGTGAATCTGAGAGTATTTTGCAGAGCAGTGCAAAGACAAAGCTTATATTTAAGAGAGCTTTTCCTTTAAAAGGTTATTCTTCAATTGTGTATATAAATTTTAGCTCAGCTAAAAATTACCTTTCTTTCTTGTGCCAGTACAGGACTTCTAACAGAAAGCTAAACTGACTTCTTCCATAAATTTTATGTTCTTTGCCATCCAAGTGTGATCTGGCTTTGCATACAACTTGTAGCAAATCACTCGGGCTGCATGGTCATGCTTTAGTTAGCAAGTGTGGCTCAGTATTTTCATGTTAATAATTAGACTTCACGGTTAACATTGTGTTGGGATGAGTGGGGTCCATTTGCACTGTCTGCTGACTTTGATAGGCAGCCCCTTTTTCCATTTATATTAAAGACTATCTTACACAAGTAAAAAGATGTGCAGGGTGCTACATGTTGGCTAAAGCATTATGAAACTCTAAGTCAAGCACAGCAAATTTTTTTTACACTTCTTCTAGAAACACCCATAGGTTGCTTAGCTTATAACCAAAAGGAAAATATGTTTTTTGCAACTGTTAGCCCATGTATGGGGGATACTTTGTACTTGGTTGGGAAGGTTCAGCAGAACAGCCATCCGGCCTCTCCTTTGGTTTCACCCTCATTGAACTTGGGTGTGTGGGTGTGCAAGTCTGATACCTTGAAATGTCTAATGTCTTTTAATGCAGGTGAAACGCCATCTGGATCCGCTTCCAGCTGGTTACTTTTACAACGGAACGCAGTTTGTGAATTTCTTTGGGGACAAGATGGATTACCATCCTCGTATCCTTCCCATTGTTGTTTCAAATTTTTTTTTGCAGGAAGTTACAGTGCAGACTCGAACAAAGTATAATCTGTTGTGGCAGAATATTGCCTCAAGTAGCAAGTGGTATTGCCAAGTGACTAGTCCAGATGTTCAAGTCACTGCGTGAACATTTGCTGTATTGAGTTGTAATGTTTAAATAAATCATTGAAGCAGCATAGAGTAAGTTACTGAGTAGACTAAGAGATCATGAAACAGCATCAGGTCCTGCTGAAAATAGCATGCACTAAATAATCCTTTGTAGACCACATTTGATGGAGAAGGTGAAAAACTTTCAGTCAAAGCCCATAGCGCTTTGAGCACGCTCACTTAAAATTAGCAACCCTTGATCATTCATCTATAATATTACTTTTTAAGTTTAAAATATGGGTGCATTTGCTTAATTATTTAAACCTCTTAGGTGTCAGCTTCCCTCATGTGTGCTGTCTTTGCTTTCGTGCTCTGCAGGATTCGTTTGATAGGCCCCAGTGGCGTGAGATGTTTGAAATAAACAAAACAAAAAGAAGCTATTTAGTCTTCTCCTTGATTACCTTTTCTCCCCGAGTTGGTAGATCATATTTTGTCTCGTTCTTTGATGGTGACCACTGCTGTACTAGTTCCCCTGTTTCAGTAGTCTCCTGAAACCTTTTGTCCTAAGTAGTGAAATGTTCTCCTTAATAAAACATCGAGTCTGATTTCATGTGCTTGATTTAGTTTTCAATATTCCTCAATCTTAAGTAACTGATTACAAAGTAAATGACAGATTCAGGTGGATTCTTCTATTTTGTTTGGAGCAAGAACATCCACCTGTCCTTCACCAAACCGAAGAATTTGGTTTTAATTTTTAAAACACTTAACTTCCTTCATGAATAAATTCTCCAGCCATAGTAATTTTGTATAAAAGCTGCAAGAACACAAAGCAGCCTGTACTCAAAGCCTTGGTCTTGAGTATTCATCTAGGCACTTTTGTTGATGGAATTTTTAATTTGACTTTTTCTCACTGAAATCCATTTTAAACTCCCCCATTTATGTTATGGAAGGCCAAGAAGTAGAGCGCTTTATTTCAAATAACACATCACAGTGGTGACTGTTTTTTCACAGCTGCTATTGTTAAAAATAATAGCACTCAAAAGTCTCTTCCCTTTCACTAATCAGCTCTCATAAGTGAAGTCGCATCCCTTCAGAAGTCAGTGTGTATTTACCTGGCCTAAGTACTGTGGAAATGGGAATAACCTAGATTTTTAGAATTCATCATAAACTAGATGGAAGCAGGAACTAGGAATTTGGAAACCTGGGATGTTTAAAAACAAAAAAAAAGCCCACTACTCTGTGATGGCAGGCTGAGCCAGCAAATAATGTTAGAGAAGCAATCAACTGAAATGGAGACATCCTTATCACATACTGCAGTGAATTTTGACCAGCTCCAGAGAAAGCAGCCTGATTCAAGAAAGCCATGTGGTTGATAAATGAATTAATTTCCCTCCTTGAGAGCCAGGGAATTTTCCAAATATTATCTTATTTACAGCTGCAGACACTTTTAGGTACCGTTTAATAGTCTCACTCCAAGTTTCTCAAATGCGTCTACATAGCAGATTTCCAGAGGGTATATGTGAAGAGGAAATGGGAAAGCAGAAGAAGTGAAAGGGAAATAGAAAACGAAGAAGTTTAAAACATGCACTACTGTACAGTCTCAGGTTGTTGGGGAGTTAGTGTGGGTGTCATGAGTGTTTCCATTTCTATGGGATCATACAGGGACACAGAAATATAACCAACCTACAAAGGGAATGTGACCTGAAAAAGCTTAAGGACTTGCTCCCTCTAGCTGAATGCATCTTTCCGTCTTTTGGATGGGCATTCACATCCAAGCACAACTCTGTGATTTAGTTGCCAAGAACTCCAGCTTTAGGCCAACATAAGGCTTAGTCTGGGATAGAAATATAATTGCCCGCTATGCAAGACGTAGCATGTCGTTCCTATCCCCAGTAAACAGTGGGTGCACAGGTAGGCCCTGATTCTCCCCTTGGAGTATCAGATAACTTAGGTTTAGGTCTGCCTGAATTGCTGTAGATACCTGTAAACCTGATGTGCTGGTGTTTCATACAGCCCTTATTTTTAACTGTTGAGAGTAACAGCTTCATTTTGCAACTTCTGCAGCCACCCCAAGGAAAAGGTAAGGACAGTCACTTTGGACTCTGGGACTCCCAGGTGGCAGTGCCTTGCATTTTGACCCCTCCCGCATCTAAGTGCATCCACGGTGGCATATTTTATTATCTAAATATGCATGTCTTAGTAGTTCAGTTGCACAGTTAGTACAGCTTGTTCTTATTCGAATGTATGCTATCTTTGGCTGGATACTTTTTTTCCCTTAATATTTGACATCAGTGATGGACCAGTTCATGAATGACTACTTGGAAGAAGCAAACCGAGAAATAGAGAAGTACAACAGAGAGCTGGAAGAGCAGGAATATGACGACCTCTTTGAGATGAAGATCTAAATATGTGTGTTTTGAATTTCTGAACTACCAAGCGACTGTCAGTAACCAAAAAATGCTGTTGTCCTTCCTGGTTAACAAGAAAATCAAAAGTGAAGTGTCAGTTTTCAACCATCCTTCGAAATAGAAGAGTTTGTTCCTGTGAGGTTGGCATTTTTAATCTGGTAACTGCTAAGTTATTTGTACTGTCTGGTTCGTTTCCACTTCACCTGTGTGCCAGATCATAAAAAGTATCACCTGGAATCTCTCCAGCTAGTTGTGCAAAAATACTGTGTACTTAAGCAAAAATGAATTTCCCAAGAGGCTGAAGCCTGATCATGAAACTGGTCTGCTGTATTGATAATCAAACCCGTAGCTTGGTTCTTTAAATGTCCTATAAAATGTTTAGCACAGATTTTGCAAACATGCCGATAAATGCAAAAAGGGCCAACATGGATGTGCACTTGAAACATGTCAGTGTGTGGGATTGGGGGGTGTTCCTAAAGCGAGAAATGGGGGAACACTGGAAAGGCTCTGAAGAGAGCTCCCGATCGTACTGCTGTCTTTGGCTGTCCTGTGAAATCCCTGCAATGTCTGAATGCGCAGATAGTGATTTGATCTTCTATAATGAGATGTCAGTACATTTCGGTGAAAAAAAGATCAGTGGAGATGCTTTGCGTTCTCCCCTGCCACTATCGTGAGGTGTTGTGTAAAATGCATTACAGGCAAGATGCTGTAATCTGGGACCTGCCATTGCTAAAGGGTTTTCTTGTACGCTTTACTCTAGCAGCAACCGCCAAGCAGAATATGCCAGGGGATGAGTCAGGTATCTTTTAGCTGAAGAGAGAGAGGAATGACAGCAGAGGAATAATTATTTCCAAAGGTGAAACAATAGCAAAAGATAGGAAATAATTCCATTTCAGGCTTGGAAGTACCTTTGTATGTGAAGCTTTCAGAAAAGCCTGGTGCTGTAGCCTTCCACAGAATTGAAACACACAGGGTGTGTGTGTGTGTGTGTGTGTGTGTGTGTGTGTGTGTGTGTGTGTGT